TAGAGGCATCGAAATCTTTTGCCCGGCATCCCGCCATTTAGCCGTGTCCTCGAGCATCCTTTCTTCCTTTCAACCGTGAAAGGACAAAGTTTCCCTTCTTAACAAGCTCGAATACCGCGCGAGCATTAATTTATCGAACGCTGCATTAAAAGGATCCCCTTCCCTCTGTTATCTCCCTACGATCCACTTTGACATACTCGTGGCGATTAAATTGATCGATGAGATACGAGAAGAGAATATTAGTCGACGAGTTGGTTGCTTAGATTAGATATCGAGATATTTAAGTATCTTTCGATCAAGTTTTTAGAATTTGGAAATTTCCAAATTTTTATAAATTTGTTCGAAATTATTTTTAATTTTCACGCGAGTTTCGAATTTTTCAAAGACCTTAAATTTTTTTTTAGAATCTTGAAGAAACAACGTTCTTCTTCCTTGTCTAAAAAAAATTAAACCGATCCCCTAAACCAATATTCAAAAATCACATGCTTTATTTACTCGATTATCGTCACCTTTTCTCGTCGGTTTATCGTACTTTTCCATCGACGACGTCTGGATAGAGTGAACACAGCAACAGGCGGCAACAAGCTGCGCCACGGCTTCACCAACGGCCGTCGTACGTGGTCTCCTCTTCTCTGTTCTTTTTTCGTTCACGTTAACGCGAGGCAAGGCGCATCCTTCGATTCCTTCGCAAACTTTGCCCCCAACCTCCCTTCTTCTTCTTCTTCTTTTTCTTTTATTCGCCTTTCTGGCCAAACTCCTCCGCCACACTTTCCTCTACACATCTTTCCTTGTTTCCCTTAGGTCCACAAAACTCGTTCCTTTCAAAATTTACCGGACATATTGGAAGAGCATAAACTGTAATGGGATAAAAAAAGTTTCGAAGGGGAAAAAACTCCCCCTGCCCCTCTATCCATCCATGGGAGATTCGAAACGAGAGTTTCGAAGGAAAACTTTTAATCTCCCCAGTCTCTTCTCAGATTTTCGAATTTTTCGAAAATTGCGTTTCCCGAGCGAACGAGCGAGCAAAATGTTCGCCTTATAATATATCCAGAGTGGAACGAGTCTCCATTCAACTGTTTATTTCTTCTCAATCCCGCCTATCCATTACGAACTTTATCTTTACAACGAAACGTATCGCAACGTGAAGATCCTTGCAGTTAAATATTCACAACTTTGTTTCGATAAAAGCAACTGGTTTTTATAGGTTACGTGCGAAGACTAGATTACTGACGGGTGGCTCCACCTGTCCACCGACTAATTGAAAAAGAAAGAACAATCTCGTCGAAATTAACTCGAAAGTTGGCGCTCGAATCGCAATGGCAATTGCAATACATCGGGAAGAGGAGAACGGAACGGATAGGGATCGGTTCGACGGAAGCCGTGCGAATTTATTTCGAATCCGGTGGGACGCGTTTCCACGTGGATTAATGGCGGATTAACAAAGTGTTTCTCTCCCCGGGCGGAGCGGTCTCGGTTAAGACTTTAAGCGCTACCTTGAGCAATTAATTTCAAAGTGGATCTCGGCGAGCTCTGGCAAACTTGGTCCGACATTGAAAAAACAAACAACAGACGGTAAATTATCCACTCGCCGCCCTTTGTGTTTCCTCCGCGCGGAGTAATTGCCGCGTGGAAATTAGCGAAATACCGAAAGGGAGTGATTTTTTTTTCTTCTCCTTCTTCTTCTTCTTCTCTTTTTCCCTCTTTTTTCGAGAAAGAAAATTCTTCTCGCGTGTTTCCAACCTCTCGATAGTTACTCGATCGATATTTTTGTCAAAGTCGAAATGTACGAAGAACGAACGAATACTTTTTCTGTATCGTTTATGCATTCAGAGATACGTTAATTTCTTTGAAAAATTTTTTCCCTTTTTTCTTCGTTTCGTAAATTAATGAAACGAGATATAAAATTATCATTATTAAATTAAATTTTTTTAAATTTCATTTTGTTCTTGCGAATGATGACGATAAATCTCATGGATGATGGATATTAGCTCATCGAAGGCACGAATTTTTTCGTTTCTGAAAAGTTTGGGGGAACGCTGTAATCGAGAGCGCCACTCCTCAAGTCAAACATCTCAAACCTATTCTCTGGAAAACTGTTCTGTTCGAGCACTCTCCGTGCTCGGTCAGCATCGCCGCCACTCGTCCAGAAATTCATTACCTCGATTTAGCATTAGAAGCCCATTGTGCCGCGCGAGAAACCCGCCTCTCGTTCTTTTATCAACGACGAACGAATGTGTAAAGAATTATCCAAACATCTTGCCGATTTTCTTCCACGCTTCAAGCTGTTTCCACGGGACAAGATTTCCTCTTCTTCGCAATCTTATCCGTCCAAATGTATTTCATAAAATTCACGTAACGAAATTCGTTCGAAAATAATTAAAATTAAACAAAAAAGAAATTACAATTCCACGTAGTTATACTCGTACGAAAAGAAATAAAAAGAATCTTAATTAGAACGACCTTAATTATGAAGGGTAACAAAAGGGGAGAGAAAAGTTTGATGATTGAAAAAAAATAGCGACAGGCAACTTTGCTTCAAAGCTTCGATCTTTCTTTAGAAAACTTCTCATATAAAAATTCTTCGACAATTCTGCTTATACTCAAATCTCTATCATCCAATAATAACAACGATTAAAGTATCGATAAGGAGAAGGAAAAAGATGTACCTCCTCGAAAAAATTCTCCATAAATTGTCTAATTAATATTCCTCCACGAAAATTCTTCTTACAACTCAAATCTCTATCATCCAATAATAATAACGATTAAAATATCGATAAAGAGAAAGAGAATGCTCGAAAAAATTCTTCATAAATTGTCTAATATTCCTCCACGAAAATTCTTCTTATACACAATTAGACAATTCAAATCTCTATCATCTAATAACAACGATTAAAGTATCAAAAAGGAGAAAGAAAAAGATGTACAAATCCTCGAAAAAATTCTAAATAATAAATTGTCTAATTAATATTCCTCCACGAAAATTCTTCTTATACAACTCAAATCTCTATCATCTAATAATAACAACGATTAAAGTATCTATAAGGAGAAAGAGAAAAAGTTCTCTCGAGCGAGTTTCATCGGATGGAATATCTCGAGGAGGATTTTGCTCGTGGATGGAAACACGATCCTCGTGCTTCAAAAGCGGCGATGGTTCACGGCCGTTTATCTCGTTAATGACGACGACTGGCCGTTGTGGATTAATGAGGACGACGCGGCCCGTCACGGAGCCAGGATGCGCGCTCTCTTCTCGTCGATATTCGACGAGAACAACTCGATGAAATATAGCCCTCCCCTCCCCAGCTTTCCACCGAAATTTCGACGGCCAAGGAGCCGGCATCATCCGCGCTTGAAAATAGAGCTCGAGAGGCCTGCGTTAACCATCCGTTGCATTACTTTTTTTCTTCCCTTTTTATTCCTTTCGTTCCAGAGACCGGTTACGCGATCGAGTGGAAAGAAGTATTTCTGTCCCTCTGTTATCCTCAGTTTTAGCTATTAACTCGATACTGCGAACATTGTTTGGTTCATTTGATCTTTTGGATATTTTGAAACGAAATTTGGAAGAGAATTTAAAAATTCTACTAGCCTAAAATTATCTCTTTATATACAAAAATGTGACGAGAAGAAACCTGTCGAGGAAGAGAGAGAGGATCTTTCTCCCTCTCAGTTAGGGATAGTCGAGATAGGCGAATTTTTTCGTCGAGTAGTTTACCTTTTTCAAGTCCTTGCTTGCGTCGGCTTCCTCCGCCTTCCGCTTCTCGGAGATCTTGGGCGTCGGGACGGCGATCGTCGCCTCCCGCAGGGGCTTCAGATCGACCTGGAAAAGAGCAAAGATCGGTTAACTTTATTTATTTATTTTCTTTATATGCACAAACGATTGCAAACAAATTTTCGATCAATCGTGCGTAATAAAATGTGTTCGAGGATTATTGTATGCTGCATTTACATGAACGAAAAATTCACACCGATTCCGCTGCATTAAGTACCAAGACTACTCGATATACGAATTTGGAATTCCATTTATGAATTCAAGTAAATTCAATTATACCCTTCCTTTTTCAATTATATATATGAAAATTCTACTAGCCTAAAATTATCTCTCTCTATATACATAATATATAATTATATATTAATTATAATAATTACATATATGTAAACATCGTTTATCAACAGACATCGACTACATTTTTCTCTTTTTTAAAAAAGGTGCACTGAACTCGTTCGATCCTTCCTTACTCGATATACGAATTTGGAATTCCATTTATGAATTCAAATAAATTCAATTATACCCTTGCTTTTTCAATTTTATATATATATATATATATATATACTTATATTATAATATAAATAAATATTATATATAATATATTAATATATTATATATAATATATTAATATATTATATATAATATATTAATATATTATATATAATATATTAATATATTATATATAATATATTAATATATTATATATAATATATTAATATATTATATATAATATATTAATATATTATATATAATATATTAATATATTATATATAATATATTAATATATTATATATAATATATTAATATATTATATATAATATATTAATATATTATATATAATATATTAATATATTATATATAATATATTAATATATTATATATAATATATTAATATATTATATATAATATATTAATATATTATATATAATATATTAATATATTATATATAATATATTAATATATTATATATAATATATTAATATATTATATATAATATATTAATATATTATATATAATATATTAATATATTATATATAATATATTAATATATTATATATAATATATTAATATATTATATATAATATATTAATATATTTATATATATTATATATTTTTTAAAAAAAAATTTATGAATCCAAATAAGTTCAATTATACCCTTCCTTTTTCAATTATATATATATAAATCGATTACATTTTTCTCTTTTTTAAAAAAGACATACCGAGTTCGTTCGATCCTTCCTTACTCGATATACGAATTTGGAATTCCATTTATGAATCCAAATAAATTCAATTATACCCTTCCTTTTTCAATATTATATATAAATATATATATGTATATATATAATAAATATATATATAAATATCGACTACATTTTTCTTTTTTTTAAAAAAGGCGCACCGATCCTTCCTTTGAAACTTGCCCGCTCAATTTCACTCCATTTTCCCTCGAACAGGATAATAAACGGATAACGTAACGATGACAGGAGACACGTGACGAGGAGTAATCCCGTTAGCGCGTCATCGGCCGACATCGGCCGTTTCCGCCGATTTCGAGGCCGAATCGTTCGTGCGACCTCTGTATTTAAGGGGAGGGGAGGGGAGTGCGCGCGCGTCCAAAGTAGGGGGACGAGTTGGAGCACGAACGAGATCGGGCATAAATCGATCCTACGCAGCGCGGCGGTTTAAAGGCGCGCTCAATGGGGATCGTGCGTTGCGTCGCATTGAATCGTCGTCGTCGTGGACGATTCTATCCGCTTGAAAGGGTTTCGCTGTTTCTGGATTACGCGCGTCTCTCTCTCGCGCGGAAATATGGATCTATGGGTTTCGTCGGACGTCAGTAGATAAATAAACCCTCGCTCGAGAGGGTCTCCGGTTTCGAGAGATTAATCATCGATATAGAAGAAAAATGAATTAACGAAATTATCGTAATTGAAATTGCATGCTAATTGCATGGTAATTGGACATGCATAATTTCGTGGTGCGGTAATATCAATGTTAATTCTGTCTGAAATATTTGCACGAGTACATTTGGGAAATGTCTCTATTTTCATTTTGTTCGTAAATTAGTTGACGTTTGTTGGTAATTCAATTCAGTTCTAATAACGAAAAGGGATTAATTATGCTTAAAAATTTTCTTACCTTTCGATCAAAAGATTTTGAAATTCAGCAAATTCGATTACATTTCAATTTTGAGAAAATTGGAAAATGATGTCACTCGGGTAAACTCACGATCAAATATTAAAAAAATATCAACGAGACAAAATTTAATCTCGATCTTTTTTTTTTAATAATCTTTAGAATTTTCTAGATTCGATCTCCTCGGGTTACTTAATTTAAGCAATTAAATCGCGAGCATTCGTCAAATTGCTTTTAAACGAATCAAATGGTGAGATAAATTATCTATCTACAAAAAATATGTATTAAATAATAATTAATATATTAAAACACTGAACATAATAAATACATTAAAAAAAAATATCAAAAATTAATGATTAAACGATCTATTTCCCTATTTCCTATTTTTAAGTAGTAGAAAAATTGAAACTAGAACTAATAACCGATATTAAAATAAAATAATTAAAATCGTCGATATTAATTTCCTCGTCCATATGTTTCTCTATTATAAATAATGGCGAAGGCAAGAAGTTTGAAATTGAATTCAAACTTTCGCTTTATAAAAAAAAAATTACCCAACTTCGAATTCGAATGCAACACGCGATCCACCCGGAAACGGAGCCGAGGGATTCTCGAGTCAACGTGAAATCACCTTCGATCACCTCGAGATTACAGCTTGCACGCGGACGCGAGAGTAATCGGGATAATCTTCGATAAGGGGGAGGGCGAACAGAGGCGAAGTGGAAACAGTGGGAGAGCATCGGTGCACGGATAATAACAACGGTGAAATCTCGTGATCCGTGTGGCCGAGAAATTAAGTTGATTCGATGCAAACACGAGAAAACACGACTCGACTCGTTTCGCCAATAACATCGATCTCGAAAATTATTATCGAAAAATTATATATTTTCGAGTCGATTAAATATGGATTCTTCTCGAACACGATTCTTCTCGAAATTCTGTGAAAATTCTTCCTCTTTTTTTATTACTATTATTTTTTATTATTTTATTATTATTTTTTATTATTTTTTTTTCTACTTTTATTTTTTTTATATTAATACTACAACAATGGAATTGGAATTGTATAATATAAAATAATAATAAAATTGTAAAATGGATAGGAACATCGTTTCAGATATTCTTCGAATCTTGTGAAGTTCGTTTTTTATGGAGGAAGACAGGAATTGATCGGATACTTTCTAACGAGCGGTTATCGAACGTAATTATGGAGATTACCGCCCCCAATTATTTCAAGTACCTGCACCAATGCTCTACAAAAGTAAGAAGCAAATACTATTAGGAAAATGCGTGTCTAACACGTGCATTACAGTTTACGAAGCTTATAATCGAAGGTAAATAGAATTGTGCTACACGTAGGATCATTATCGAGAAGGAACTTTCTAAAATTTCCATGACAATTTGGATCTTTCTTGAGTTGCTCTCAAATCGAAAATAATCGTGATCACTGCTCGTTAAGAAAAATAGGAATAAAATTTTTAAGATAATTTTTAATTTATTATTATTATTATTTATTAAGAATTTTTAATTTTTTTTAATTTTTAAGCTTATAGTCACAATGATCAATCGATCGAAGGATTCGTTTAAAAGAAAAGATTCACCAAGGTGAATTTTTAAACGATTCTCTTTTTAAAGTCTCTCGAGGAACAGCTCGAGGAATTATAGGGTAAGCAGCATTAATTCCTTCGTTCTTCCCTTCATTATTCTTAAAGGATTCGATCTCGTAGTCATAGAATTGTCATAGGATGACGATATTACTTTTCAAGATTTTTCTCAAGCACTATCACGAAAGAATCTTTTCTCTTTTTTTTTTCTCGTGCAAAGAATTAGATCGTTCGATATTCCAAATCGAAGCTTTTGGAACTTTCTTCTGTCAATCTCAGAGATAATCGAATTCTCAATTACTGTATCGATAGGAAGAAAGAGTGATAAATAGACGAAATTTTCGAATCTTGAAAGATCATCGATGAAATCTTCTCTTCAAAAATTCTCTTCAAAAAAGGGAGGCTTAACTATAACAACGAAATTCGCACGCAGCAGTTAAGATATTCCACTCAATTTCGCGAAATCCTGGATCCATTAATCTTGCAAGGAGGGTTAACGCGCCATTAGAACTTAGGAAGCCTAATTACGCCATTCAAGTCGAAAGAGATCGACTCCTCGAGATCGTGAATCTCTAAGGAGCCCGCCTTTGCGATCGTCGATCGGAAATTTCGTGTTTTAACGATCACCGTTCGATCGTCGAATTGTTATCATCCAACAGAAGACGAGTTTTTAGGTTTCTTGATTCATCGTGAATGACGAGTCGATTTTCGATGTCGCTCTGCGGTCAAGGGATTCTTCTGTCTGTTGATTTTGTGAAAAATATATATATATATTTATCTTATTAATATTTATTTATTATATATTATTATAATTTTTATTTTATATTTATCTTAAATTTATCTTCTATTAATCTTCTATATTATAATAGAAAAAATTGGAAGAGACTAATGGATATTTATTTATATTTATTTATTATATATTATTGTAATTTTTATTTTATATTTATCTTAAATTTATCTTCTATTAATCTTCTATATTATAATAGAGAAGATTAGAAGAGACTAATGGATATTTATTTATATTTATATTTATTTATTATATATTATTATAATTTTTATTTTATATTTATCTTATATATAATATAGAAGATTGGAAGAGACTAATGGATATTAATTTAATACTTTATACGAAGCGAAGAAACGTGGCAAGGTTGTTCAAATAAAATGTTGTTGCTTTTTATCGGAAACCAATGAGGATATCGGTTTCGTTTCTTTTTCTATTAAATGGCAATGGGAAGGAGAGACCTTCTTATTTTTCCTTCACTGGATTTACGCCAAGATTTATAAAAATCTGCCATTTTTTTCCAAAACTTT